CAATCAGGTAGGTTTTCAATGGCAGATTATTAAAACCAGCACCAGCATTCTGAACAAGCTGCTTGCTCCCAAAGACCCAAACACTTGGTCCTGCCCCCAATTCCATGGGATAAACAGGTCCTTCCCTCAGGATCACCCTCCTCACAGCACTCCCTCACACAGGTCACAGGTCAGCACAGATGCAGAAACTTCTACTTTATAACCCTCAGATGACAGGATTTAGTACTGACCATGTGTAATCTGCCCTTGGATCAACACTGGAGACCCTCCCAGGCTTGCTCCTTCCACAGCTTTATTGAGGACATCAGGTAAATCCTTACTCTAATCCCCTCGTTTGTCTGACACCGAGGAGAACATGCAAATATCTGGATCCTAAATGCATGGAATAGAAAGCCACAAGCTGAACAACAGCCCTACCTCGATGCAGCTTGATTGGGCAAGAGAAGTCAGACTCCAAAGGATCTTCTTCATCTCCTGTCGCCAGTTTCAGTGCAAGTTCCAGCTCAACACATTCGAACACGTACAGGGAAGGAATAAGATCAGATCTTGGGTCCCAGGACTTTTCTGACTGTAAAGAGCATTGAATTCTTATCTGAGACATGATTTAAATAGGAATGACAACATAAACAGCATCAAGAGTTATAAGTTTTAATTATTGAGGAATGTAGTCCAAGTTTACTTTAAAAAATTAACTCAAACCCAGGGTTTCTTAGAAAATCCTCCTTAAATTAGATCATAGTAAATTTGATCAAAAAAGGATCTACTATCAGGGTACACAGGACTGAGGTTTAAAATAAGTGCCAGAGAGCCACAGGGACTGGCAGAAACAGGAGAAAGACTCACTACCTCATTCCCAAAGAATGCAGCTTTGGCACTTGGCACACACTTCCAGGCATCCTGCCACCTTGCAGCCAGGAACTTGGATTATGGAAACAAACATGCCTACAGAAAAAACCCAAACCAAGACAAGGTACCTGCTCATCATCCTCTTCTCCATCCAGCACCACGCAGTGGTAGAGCATCCCCGACTCGGTGGCAATGACCAGGATGTTTGGAATGCAGGGCAGGCACAGCACGGCGCAGGCGTCGTAGCCGTAGTTGTCCTCAGCTGCCGGGTGCATGGGCAGGGGGCCCAGCAGCTTCCCGAGGCTGCCAGCGCTGCAAGGGACAGGGGTTTGTTCTCAACACCAGCTCTGCAAGGGCACTGCCCTGCAAGGAGGCTGCCAAACAAAGGCCTGGAGTTCTAAATCCCATCAGACTTCTGCAGATCGCAAGTCTGACCTGCAGCTCCTCGGTGGAGATCTCAGAGGGGAAATCGGAGCTCATTTTATATTTCATTACATTTCATGCTTTGAAAGCAACCAAAGCTACACTGCAAAAATTAACGAGGAAACATTTTCATACGAGAACACAAAGTACTCATGGAAAGCTCAAGTTAGTGATTACTCAACTGGTTTCTTGCACTTCACAAGCAGCATTTTGTGTTGTGGCGTTGCTTTGGGCAGAACTTTAGATAGACTAAGGCCATCTCACTGCCTGCAGACAGATCTGCTCAGTGCAGAAGCACAGTGCTCTTTCTAACCCAAGCACTACACTCTTTAATATTCAGCTACACAAGATCTAACTTGTAGGTCTTGCACCATCTTCTCAGTTTTCTAAAGTAATTCCTTCTTGTATAACGTCTGTATTTTTGATTAATCATCCTGACTTTCCATTGCAGAACATGCCTGTGAACCCCCTGTGCTCTTCAAATTTCTTTTCCTAGGATGTCCCTGGCTCAATGAGCCTCATCCACAGCTAAGGATGTCTGTGCTGTGAACTGAAGGCCACAAAATACACTGAGCAGCCTTAGACCCACTGATGCTTTTTACAACCCAGCGTCTTCGGATCAGATTGCTGATGGTAAATAATGCACAGTGCAATCTGAGCAGTGGAAGCTGCACCCATGATGTCTGGATGAGAAAGGACAACACACAGTTTTTGGATTCCAGTCTATCAGCACTGCCACAGAGACAGAACAGGTTGCAATGAGCCCAGCATCGCTCACAGAGTCCCAGCCAAGCCGACAGGAGACTCTCTCACCCCAGCACTGTACAAGCAGCCCGTGATCCCTGCGGGTCAGACCGTACCTCTGGAGCAGGCTGATGTAGGTGAGGAAGGTCTCTCCATTCTCGTACAGGATGTACAGGGGGTAGCCCAGCACCTCCTCGCGGCCGCGCTGGCCCAGGATGTGCTTCGGCACCGGCACCTGCGGCCCGAAGTCGAAGGCCACGGCCGTCTCCCCCAGGGACGCTGTGTAGGCTCTCCTGGACGGGGCAGAGCGAGCCGGGGTCAGCAAGGACTGAGAGCACAACGCTTAACGTGGTCCTGAGGGATGGGCTGCCAAATTCCTGCCAAACCCCATCCAGCAGTGCCCTGCCACGTGCCACTGCCAGCAACACAAGGGTGTGAGTGACACTTCCTCATGGCACTTCGGTTCTGCAGTGCCCCCACGGCTTCAGAGGATACAAGAGGTGTTCTGGTATCTCCTGTGAGGCACATCAGTGGTGCAAGATTTCCATTTCCAACCAGGCCAAGAGGGAAATAAAAATATAATCTATTTTCTACATTCCTCACTCAAAAACCCATCCTTAATCCTGTCTTAAAGTCAATGTGTGTTTTTCAAACTGCTACTCTGATAAACACTGGATTGCACAGTTTGTCACCACTTTGTTTTAGAAGGATGGGGGAGAGGACAGGGAGAGGAAAGGAGAAAGAAAAAGAGAAACAGTGAAAAGGAGAAAAATAAGAGAGAGAAAGAGAAAGGAAGAAAAAGAAATTGAACGAGAAGGCAAAGTGTAGGTACTCTGCTGTGAAGAAGTGCTAGCACTATAGAATTCATATAGATTTTCAGACACGTTTATCACTTATTCATTAAAAACACAGCTGAGAATACTGAGCTTATTCTGCAGAAGCATTTCAAAATACAAGAAGCCACACCAACCCTGTTTTGATTGTAAGGGTCTCCTCCTCAGTGTCTGAAAGCACAATCACTTTGATGGGTGTCTGAGGCACCTTCAGACTGTAAAACCTGTGGGAAAGAAACAGCAGCCACGTTCATTCTGCTGGCACTGCTGCACATTCCCTGCTGACACAGGAACAGCAGCTGCTCTCAGTCTGAAATTCCTCCCATCCTGTTTTTTTTATTGCTAACTCTGGTAAAAATAGCAGGATAAAAAACCAAGTGACAAATTAAGACTGGACATGACAAAAAAAGGTACTTCAGATAATCAGCCACAAATGGGGTTTACCTTATGGTGTTATCTGATGTCAAGAGCACAATGTGGGGCTCCAAGGTGTCACAGGGGTACCAGGCTGCATGCTTTAAAGTCAGGGATGTTGAGCTGGTGAAGAACCGTTCCGCAATAGGAATGGTGCTGGAATGCAAAGCACAAACTTGCACTGTGACCAGAAACACACAGGCTACTTCTAAAGGGCAGTGGGGGCTAGAAGAGCTAGAGACACAATGAGAAGGGCTCGAAGCCTTTATCTGTACTACTCTGAAAGTTGGAGAGGCAGCTTTAACTTGAAGCCCTCTGTTATTTCCCCCCAAACATCTGCTTTTAGCTGCCACAGCTGAAAGACCCCGGAGAAACTGCCCCATCTCTGGAAGTGTCCAAGACCAGGTTGGGCAGGGCTCAGAGTTCCTGTTCATGGCAGGAATTAGAACTTGTTGGCCTTTAAACCATTCCATGATTCTGTGATAGGCCAAGGAATACTAGAGGAGCCTCTTGCTCTTCAGCAACTGCAACAAGCTTAGAAGGTAATTTATTTGGGTCACTTGTCAAGCAGCAAGTATTTGAGCCAAAATAATTTCAATCATGACTGCCTCACAACCCCAATACAACATGTACCTTCCACCAGTGTCTTCAATATCTGCCTAAGCCTAAGAAAGGGAGGCTTTGGAGGAAGAGTGGCAGGACAAGGATGTCATGAACCGCCTGGGTCTCACCCACCTGCAGTTCACCGTGGATTTCCCACCTTCAAACTCGGAATTCTTGCCCCAGCGTTTGGGCAGCTCCAGCACCATGAGCCCCTTGGTACCAATGAGCGCCACATGGTGCTGAGCAGGGCTTAGCAGAGTCTGGTGCACTTCGAAAAGGGGTGGGTTTATGCACAGAAGGGTCTGAAAACAGAAATGGTACAGAGAAACACAAGCCGTTCAAAGAACTCAAGGCAGTACAGCTCATCTTTATTTTGGATGGTGATTCACACGGCACGGAACGAGGCACAACCCGGCTCCACGGCACAAAGCAGTGGGCTCCTTGGGGAGAGACACCCCAGGGCAGGCTGAAGGATGATGAACGGCTCGGGGGCCTTCAAGGAACAGATCCCCTCAGCCCCGTGCCCACCACGGCCCTCCTTCCCTCACACCTCACATCCCCTCAAGCCCGCATCACACCCTCTTCCCTCAGAGTGCGCCCAGCCCCTCACGCCCCTCCTCTCCTCGTGGCCCCTCACACCCAGACCCTCCCTACACGACCCCTCATCCCTTCACACCGCTGGCCCCCTCCTCCTTATCCCCTCACAGCCCATTTCCTCACACAACCGCTCCCCCCACAGGATCCCCTCACCCCCTCCCACACGCCGCTCCCTCGGCGCGGGCCTCACCTGGTAGCGGCCGAGCGCGGCAGGGTCGTTGCCGCCGAGGCGGCGCAGGCCGATGGCGAGCAGGGCTGCGGCGGGCCCGTCCCAGAGCAGCAGGTCGGCGCCCAGCCCGCACAGGAGGTCGCGGAGCCGCGGCGGGCGGGGGGCGGCGGGCGCGCGCTCGCGGAGGCGGCCGAACAGCGCGTGCTGCGGCAGCGCCGCGCGCCACTGCTCCGCCGGGCCGCAGTCGGCCGCCATCGCCCCGCGCGCCGCCGCCCTGACGTCACGGCCCGCGCGGCCAATCGGCACCGCCCCCCCGCGGACTACATTTCCCGGCGTGCCCCGCGCCCCCGGCGCGCTGTGGGCTCGGCGCGATGGCGGCGCCGGTGCAGCGGCACCGAGCGCGGTACAAGAGCCCGAGCGGGCCGCCATGGAGGGAGACGTACCGCAGGGTGAGCGGGGATGGGGCTGAGAGCGGGGGGACATGGATTCTCTCCTCTTTTGAACCCAGGTCGGCCCCACCTGGTCCCGCTGGGGTGGGTGAGCGGCGCCCCGTCCGAAACTGTCTCCTAATCCCGTCCCAAACTTCCTCTGCAAGCACCCGGCATTCCCGCTAGGAACTGTCATCACTATCCTGCCGTCCCTCCAGGACATGGCTGGCCCTGCTCCACCCTGCCGTCTCCCTTGTCTTACCCCCGGTGCCTCCCCCCATCCTGCCCTCCAGACCCCCAGCCTCTCCCGGGTCCCCCCTCCGGGACTCCCGGTGTCTCGGCCCTCTGGGACGCAGCCCCTCCGCTGTGTCTCACCCCTTGGTTCCCCCGGCATCTCCCATGTCCCGCCCGAGCTGGCGCTGACGGCCCCGGGCGCTCTCCCCTGTCCCCAGCGCTGCATGGAGCGGCTGAGGAACAGCAGGGCCCAGCTGCTGGACCGGTACCGCCAGGCCGGGGACAGGGCGTGTGCGGCGGCCCCAGGAGCGCTGCTGGTACAGGAGGTGATGGAGCAGGAATGGCAGGAGCTGCGGGACAGGCTGCCCGGCCTCGGCGGAGATGAGCCCATGGAGCAGGTCAGTGCTGGATCCCCAGGATCAACACCAGCTGTGTGATACAGGAGTATCAAATAGAACTCCCTGCGGGTCAGCTTCTTACTGCAGCTGACAAAACTCAAAAGCTTCCCAGTTCTACAGCTCAGGCAGGGTGTTGAGCTGTGAAAGTGCCTTTGGGCGTGAGTGGGGAAATGCTTTACTTCCTTCACAAACAGCCTGTGGGTCACAGGGTTCGTTTCCTCATCTGTGCTTTTTATAGCTGCTTTGTTACTTCCCTCTTCTGAGAATGAAACCTGAATGTCTTAAAAAGCTAGTTCTTGGACAGAATGTACTTGGATCCATTCTGTCTGGCTCTGCACATGTGTTTACAGGACAGGTTGCTTCCCACAGTGCATGGGTTTGCAAACAGAGATTTACTAGACAGGAGAATAAGAATGAATTTATGTTGCTCAGTCAGGTACTGGAAGTGAGAAAGTGGCTGGAATGGGAGGATCACTGACTGATTCACCTTTCAGATGCTGGAGGACCCTGATGAGCTGGCAGTGCTGGAAGAGATCCAACAAGAATTGATTTTGCAAGGTAAGATCTTTACACATCTTCTGACTCCTATTTGATGTGTAACATCCCTGACTTCCTATTAATGCAGAACACCTGAGGCTGCACCCCTTGGTTCTTGCAAACCACGTGATAGAGGGGAACAGCCTCCTTAGAAATCTTGGTGTTGAGGCTTTGAGGTATTGTGACCTCTTCTCACAGTTTTAGGAGTTTAAGTGGAATTTTAAAGCCTGTGAGAGAGGCCAGAGAAACAGGACTGACATGTCTGTTAGCTCTAGGAACATTTATAAATCAATTCAGAATGCTTCTAAAGTGCTGATAAAAAGACCCATATGAGACCAGCTGAGCCATAGGAAAGACTGGATTAGCAGGAATGATTTCACCAAGTGTAGAAATCAGACTCAAACGAATACAAGTTCTTAGAAACTTGTATCCAGCCCAGCCTGCATCTGCCCAGCAGCTTTGCCTGTGCTGCCCAGGCCAGCCCTGAGGGTGTTTTGCTGGCCCAGCCCCAGCCCTGAGGGTGTTTTGCTGTGCTGTGTTGTTGCAGAGCAGTTGGTTATCGAGGAGTATGAGCGGAGCCTGCGCTTCGATGAGGAATGTCTCAACGCCATGCTCGACGGCCTGGATGCCACTGACAGGGTCATCTGCCCAGTATGTAGGAAGTAAGAAAAGCCCTTGGCACTGGAATCAGATTCCCCACTCTCCTACAGCAGTCTGGGCTTAGAAATGTGCAGAGAGAGGCTGCTGTTCATTTCAACAAAATAAAAACGCCTGAGCAATGATCTAAATCTACTGGGGGGAGGATCGTTGTGTTTTTGTTTCTTTTGGTCTTTTTGGTGGTTTTTTTTTTTTTTTTTTGCTAAAATCTTCCCGTGTTCTGGGTGTTGTGATGCTCATTGTTTCCCCTTCCCAGGAATAACCTGACTGTGAAGGCTCACTTGGTTTGTTGCCAGTGTGGACTGTACATCAGCACACAGGTAAGCTTCACTGTGACATGTACATGGCATCTCTGCTGCTGTAGAGGCAGCTTTGAGCTACAGACAGGAACTTTAAGTGACTTTTAATCAATTCTTCTCAGGATATGACAGAAGGGAAGCTTCGGTCGCTTCTGGAAAGCACCCTGACAGAGCACAGTCAGAGGTGCTTGCACAGCCCTGAGTTCACAGTCACCAGTGGCATGGAGGAGGAAGCCAGTCTGCTCATGAGCTGCCCGGTGAGTGCAAATGTCAGGTTCCTGGAAAGGATCCCTGCTTGGATCCATGTCTCAATTACATGGGCAGAAACCACAAGTCTGTTGATCCTCAGGGTTTGTGTGGCTGTTTTTTCACAAAATTCCTTGGAGATGGCTTTACCTTTGACCACCAGTAACCATAAAAGAGAAGTTCCAAAGTACACACCTTTAACTGCTGGATTAGGGAATCTTTCAAGGACCTGTCAAATTTAGTGCCCTAACTTTAGCCAACAATTTCTAAGTCTTGTGTGCACCATGTGTTCAGATTAGTGGTTCATGAAGAAAATTTTTAAAATTACTTGTTTAAGCCTTCTCAAAAACTTCATCCAGATCTCAGAGAACACACAGCAGCCCTTTGGATCAAGCTAGAGCTGATGCTTTCTTTGCAATGTAAAACTGGTGTGAGGACAGTTAGGGGCAGAGCATTTCAAATAGAGCCATGGAATTGTTTAATTTGGAAAAGACCCCCAAGATCAAGTCCAACCATTCCCCAGCACGGCCAAGGCCACCACAAACCCATGTCCCCAAGTGCCACATCTACAAGTCTTTTAAATCTCTCCAGGGATGGTGACTGGTGCCCTGGGCAGCCCCTGCCAGTGCTCAACAACTCTTCTGTGAAATTTTTCCCCAATCACTAGTTTTCCTGTTCAAATAGTTTTGAACTTTAACACAGCTTCTCTGTTCAACTTTTTTCTGAAGGTCTGTGACTCCTGGATGATTCTCCTTTAAGGTGATTCAGCTGCTGATTTACTTCTGGAAAACTTCAATACTAAACTTCACCCAGAGCTGCTAGGACTCTTGTGTACATACTTCTAACTGCTGTGTCAAAAAGACACTTGAGAAGGCAGTAGTATTGCCTTGACCTGCACTTTTAATCACACAGGACATGTTTTGAAATAAATATATTTAGTTTATTTTGGCCTTGGTGTTGTCTTTAATATTACATCAGTGATCTTACAGCTCATTTGGACTTCAACTTTCTCTTTGAGTTTAAATGAACCTTAAATAAATAAACTAACTAGCTTAAATAAACTTAAAACCTTCAAACAACAATTGGAGGCAGCAGTTTAAATAGAAGTGCTCAACTATCACTGCTACAACTCCTCTGTAAGCAGGTGTAGCACAAACTCTGCCATCACTTTCATGGCAGCTCTGGTACAGCAGGAACAAGACAAACCACCCTTTTCAGTGATATGTTGAACAGTTTTTATTCTTCACATTCACTCTTAAATGTACAAAAAAACCCCATGCAGGGCAAGGCAATTCTGGCCCATAACGTGGGAGAACTTGACTGGGGCTGCACCATCACTGCAAATCCCCAAATCCAAGTGAGAATCCTTTTCTCCCATTCTCCACCTTCCAAGTTACTTACTCTCTGTGTCCACTGTGAAGATATATTTGGGTATTGCTGGGTGAAGCAGCACTGTGGAATACCCACGCTTAAGGATAAGTTTCCTAGCCTGGCCTACTGACATTTGACAAAGCTTTTAAGGTCTTCAAGGAATTTAATGTACTCCTGGTGCTCCAGGGCAGTGCTGAGCTCTATTAACTCATCAGCAAAGGTGTTGTCCACTCCTCGGTCAGCCAGGAAATCCATCAAGTGATCATAGAGAGCCTGGAGCAAGGTACAGAAAACTTCCTTAGTGGAACATACCTGGCTTGGGGATGCATTAAAATGTCCCCTGGCAACTGGCACTTCCTACCAGAAAAAACAGACCCAGCTCCCACAGGAGGGCAGGCCTGACCTTGGATGGAACATTTGGACAGAAGGGCCCATGGAATAAGTAATAAAATAAGTAATAAAAACCCAAACCCAACACCACAAATGAGCTGCATCCTGGAGATGAGCCCCAGATTGTGGGAGGTGACACAGGCCAAGCTCTGCCTGTCCCCTCTACCCAGGGGTGAACCAACACTTTGGGAAGGTATCTGATGTACAAGTTTGTTTGAAAGGCTTAAATGTTAAATGTTGTGAACTTTGCTTTTTCCTTTTCATACACATTTTTAATTAATGTCTTAAGACGGGAGAAAAAGAATAATAATTGTGGGATGGTCTACAGCACACTGAGCAATTTTAACATGAATGCTTCTCAAGGGGATACAGTCTAGGACTTACTTCTACTTTCAGTTTTAAACATATGACAGCTTCAAACTAAAAATTATGGCTTTTGAACTCGTGGCATTGAAAACAGACACAGATTCTTGTGCATATTTTAAGTGTTACAACTGTAACAACAAACCTGGAAAAGCAGGACACAATGTATTTTATCAGATGCCTTTATCTACACTTGGTGTCTGATAAGCCACATTGTTAAACACACAGCTCAAAAGATGTTTAACAAGTGTCAAAGCATTTCCAGAGCGCTATTCCCTGCTGGGAAATCCACCTACAACCTGGAAAGGAAGAAGTTCCACCTGTCTGTCCTGATTCCTGGTAAATACCACCAGTTCAGGGGCAGAGCAGGGGCAGTCCCTGTCTCAGACATCCAGGCAGGTTTAATTCCCAACCCAGGAGCAGAGGGACAGCCAGGTGAGCTGAGTGCCCTCTGAGGCCTTTAGCAGCACCTACCCAGTCAAGGGAATCCGTGTTGAGGGTGTAGTTGGTGTCCTTCCAGTCAGCCTCCCCAGTGGGCTGGAAGCTGACCTCCCGAATTGTGAAAATATCACTTTCTTCCTCTCCTTCATGTCCAATCTGAGGCAGGAAAACAAATGCAAGACGTGCAATTAGCTCTAATTAATGGGCACGCTCAGCCAGCTCACCCTCAGGCTGGGAATACCTCAGGAAAAGCTCCAAGGCCAGACAAGCTGTGCCTCAACGTGTGCCTGTGAGGACCAGCACAGACATGCACAGAACACAGGAAATCCTCTAAGCCTGGGCTGGCCAGAAGGGACCTGATGTGAATTAGCAGTCTGAATTTTACAAATACATGAAAACCTCTTCTATGTGGTTCTAAATATGTCTTGCCATGTCTGTCTCACCTTTGTCAGCCAGGACTGGCTGTTAAACATCTTCTAACATGTACAAAATAAACCACGAGTACCAGTGTGAGCAAAAGCTCTCAATTTTATTTTCTCCCCTCCTTTTTAAAATCCCTACTTCTCTACTGTAATTCAACAGCCTAATAAGTAGCTGTTCAGAAACACCAGGGCAGGATGTGAGGAATGCCATAAACATTTCCTCCCACGGTTCTTGCAAACATAAAGCCTCTTTTTTATTTTTTTGTGATTAAGAAAAATAAAGAAATGAGAGGAGACTGGATATTATGCAGATTCAGAAAAGCAAGGTATCACAAAGAGCACTTAAATCCAACAGGGGCACAGTGATACTCACCTCATCTTCAGGGAAATGGCAGTCAAGCACAAGGGTCTGTTTTGTATCATCTTTTATTACTTCCACAACAAAGTTTGGAGTTGATGTAAGTTCAGGCTAAATAAGAGAACAGTTGCATCAGCACTGGAATCTGAACAGGAGCCAAAGCAATCAGAGCACAGCTCAGCCAGCACTGGGTATTCCCTGACACCTTCCACTATCCCAGGTTGCTCCAAGCCCCATCCAACCTAATCTTGGACACTTCCAAGGATGGGGCAGCCACAGCTTCCCTGTGCCAGGGCCTCCCCACCCTCACAGGGAACAATCTCTCCCAATACCCATTTAGCCCCACTCCCAGTCAGTTAAAAGCCATTCCTCCTTAACCTGTCACTTCACTCCCTTGTACATTTCCCACTCTCCTGTAAACCCTTTTGGTACTGGAAGGTGCTAGAAAATCTCAGAATTCCTCTAATTTCTCCTCATAGAGCCCTCCCACCCTGCTCTGCCTGTCTGCAGCAGAGAGGAAAGTCACAGCCAGGGGACAGGCAGCCCTGGAAAACCTGCATTTTGTGACTTAATGCTCCCAAATATCAAGTAAGGGGGAGAAAAAGCCTCAACACTTGAAGGCAAGGCTCGAACTTCCCTAAGGCAAGATTCCAACTTCCATCTGTGTCCTCAACATTAAATGCCTATCAAGGCTAAGTCACCTCTTGCTCATCAGGTTTCTGCTGTTCCTGCGTGTCTTCTTCAGCTGAGGGTGGAATGCTGTTATTGATGTTGAATGTAACAGTTATCCTGCAAAAGAAACAGAAACAATTCTTTTAAACACACCCAAAAAATGCCCATCAGAATGTGTCTTTTAAGCTCTCGTTCAGAATTCACACAGTGTGAACAAAACCAGGTACCTGCAGTTAAAAGACACCTGAGAGAAGCTGCTCCCTCCAAGTGCTCTCACTTTTTAAAGTTTTACTGAACTGTTATTTTTAAAATAGGAAAACAATGTGAAACTTTGAACAAAAGTCTTTGTAACCCAAAACACGGTAACAAACTGGTGTGAAAAACGTGCCTTTGGCCCAAAGTGGTCAAATAAAGAACCTTTGCACCCTGCAGTCTGGGGCATGAGCACATGGAGAAGCCTGGTCACCGTGACCCACCCACCCTCAGCTGCTGGGGACCCTTCCCACACCCCACTTACTTTTCCCCTGCAATCTTCCGCACCAGCTTGGCCTCTGTGCCATGGACCTCCAGCTCCCACCCCCCGGACACCTTGGGCAGGGATTTGTGCTTCTGGATCTTCTTCTCCTCCTGGATCTCATCCGTCAGGAACTGTGCAAAGGCTTTGTCTCCTGGTGGGGAAAGAAAACGGGGTTAGGAAAAAGGGGGGTTATGGAGACAGGGGGAGATAAGGAGAGAGGGGGGGATTTCAGGGAAAGGGAAGGGGAGGGAAAGTGGTGTTGGGAAATGAGGGGTTAGGGAAAGGGGGGTAAGGAAAAGGGGGATAAGAAAAGGGAGGGGTAAGGAAAAAGGGGGTGTGGTTAAGAGAAGGACGGGCAGGAAAAGGGGATTTGGGAAAACGGGGGTTTGAAAAAAAAATGAGGTTAGGGAAAGGAGGATTGGAGAAAAGGGGATTGTGAAACAGGAGGTTAGGGAAAGGCGAGTAGGGAAAGAAGAGGTAGAGAAGAGGGCGTAGAGGAAAAGGGGGCTTATGCGAGGTCGGAATTTAGGGAAACAGGGGATATGGGAAAAGTGGGGTCGCCTTCGGGAAAGAGGAGGTAAGTGGGGAAAGCCCCACGTGCTCCCCAGGACGGAGGGGATTGCCCCGCACGTGTTCGCCCCGCGCCCTCCCAAGGGCGGCCCCGGCCGGGCCCCGCTCACCCTCGGTGTGCAGACCGCCGCAGCCGCAGGACACGCGGCCGGCCGAGCCCCGCCGCGGCCGCAGCAGCGCCGTCCGCCCCGCGCCGCCGCCCAGCTGCCACAGCGAGCGCGCCAGGCCCGGGGCGGCGGCGGGCGGCGGCAGCAGGGCCCGGGGGGACGCGGAGCTGAGCGGGCGGCGCGGCAAAGGGCGCAGCGCGGCGGCGGCGGCGGCGCGCAGGGAGCGGGCGAGCAGCATGGTGCGGCGGCGAGCGGCGGGACGGCACTGCCCGCCCCGGAACCGCGCTCCGCTTCCGGCCCCGGCGGGCCCCGCGCGGCTCCCGTAGCTGCGGGTTCGAGTCCCGGCCCCGGTAGGATCGAGGGTTCCAGTCTCGTTCCTGGTGTTATAAATGAGAAATAAACGTCCCGATGTTCAGCAAAATTTAGATTGCTTTATTTGATATGGACAGAGCAAGCAGCGCTGGGGAACGTGAGGGGTAACCGCCCACTCCACGCCCCACCGAACCTTGGTTTGCAGCCTCTTCTTACACTGTGGGTTCTCACCGTAATCAATAATTTTTGGTTTTTTGCTGTCCCAATTTTGCCAGGTAAGCAGTGGTGGTCGAATAAACATCCTTATCCCAATTCACAAAATCTCCGGTGATAGTCAGTGTCACAGATAACCATCTGGTCTTTGTAGATAACCACCAGCAAAGTTCTGGAAGTCTGGTCCTTGAGATAGGCAGCATTGATCAGACAAAGGCAGGAAGGGCTATTGGGAAGTCTGATTTTGCAAAGTGGTAGCCGATGCAAATTATTTGGAAAATATAACATAACATAAATAATATCACAAGGTGATTTTAAACTGTGACAATTGATAAAAGACTCGTGTTAATCGCAAAAGCATTGGGGTTTGCATAAACCAGAATACTAAGCTCTGAAGTGAAGCATGGACACTAGATAAAGGAAATTATATGATTAAATAATTCTGTTTAAAATCACCTTGTTATATTATGTTGTATTATGTTATATTACATTATATTATGTTATGTTTTTCAAATAAGTTGTATCGGCTACCAGCTTGCGAATTCGGACTTCCCAAAAAGCCCTTCCTGCCTTTGTCTGATCAATGCTGCCTATCCCAAAAACCAGACTCCCAGAACTTCTCTGGTGCTTCTCTACAAGGACCGGATGGCAATCTGTGACTGATTATCACCCAAAGGCTTTGTGAATTTGTGTACAACAAGGAACCACAGTATAAGAAGAGGCTGCAAACCAAGGTTGAGTGGAGCGTGGAGTGGGTGGTGACCCCTCACGTTCCCCAGCACTGCTTGCTCTTTCTATATCAAATAAAGCAATCTAAATTTTGCTGAATATCGAGACTTTTGCCTCTCATTTACAACATAAACAGAATTATTTTATCATATAATTTCCTTTATCTAGTGTCCATGCTTCACTTCAGAGCTTAGTATTCTGATTTATACAAACCCCAATATTTTTGTGATTAACACGAATTTTACCAATTATCACACCGGTGACACCGCGGGTTCGAGTCCCGGTCCCGGCAGGACGGAGTGTGCAAACACGGTGCCCGGCTCCTGGGATCCCTGATTAAATCCCTGATTATGGAATGGGCAGGGGTGGCACGGACACAGCCCCCGTACAGGTCCCTTCTCGAGTGAAGGCACAAAGAGAGCTTTAGGAATGTGAGAGACATGCACAGGTTTTATCCCAGATGTCATGTCACTCCTAATTAGGACTGCCAGTGTTCAGGACTGCACGTGGTGGCCTCCTTGGAAAAAGAAAAAATGAATGGTTGAGGGGTTTTTTTGCTCTTTGAGTGTATTTTAGAAGAAAGACTGAGTAAAGCAGCGTCTCCTGGCACCAGGCCTTCCCTTTGTCCCAAAGCTGGCACCGGTGGCCGCTATTGAGGAGAAGCACAGAAGACACATTTGCTGCTCACTGCAAGGCAGGAGCAGGACAGCATCGGTACCACCCCATCAAATGGATACCACCCCATCAAAAGGCCAGAATTTTAACTCCCAACTCCCTGCAGGCGTCTGAGCACTGCACATGTAAACGGCAGAGTCCATTCTGCACAAGAAGCACAGAGTCACTGGGCTACCTTCACATCTTTAAGCCCAGACTGCTGACTATGAACACACTCCCATGAGAACATCACTGAGAGGAACGAGGAATTTGTCTTTACCAACAAGCTGTGGGCCTGGATAGATAAGGCTAGCACTGAGAAATGAAAGAAACAATGGGAAGGATTCCACTGATTGATGAATGGAAAAAAATATTTGCCTTCACAAACAAACTGTAGGTTTGCTGATAAATGAAATCAGATATTGAAAGATGAAAGAAACAATAAGAAAAAAACATGAATGCTATAAGAATTGAAAATTAAAAGGGAGGGTTGTACATTAGAGGGGAATCTTAGGTATCAGGTGTTCTGGGAAGTCTGTGCCTCTCAAGTACCTCAGCCAATGGGGAAAGAGAGAGGGAAATGCAGCTGGGAAATGCGGATAAAAAGGAGGCTGCGTCCTCCAAAAATCAGAGGGATCCCAGGGGAATGCCCCATGGCCTCTCCTTTTATTCGAATGAAGTTATAGAACTCCTCTATCTCCCTTTTGGACATAAACCTCTGGTGTTTGTGGATTAATTTTTCTGACACCAGGACTGGTCCTGGACTGTCCCATGATTTTTTTTCTGCGCCTCACAAAACAACACACAGCATTTGGATTTTCACCATCACTTCTTTATTCTGGAAAAAAACATATAAATCCAATCTAAATAAATACCCCTCTCCACTTCCTTAAGCACGCTTAAATTATCCTGCCTATAAAAAAAACACGGTAATACATATATATCCATTAAAAAAAATAAGTCTTCCAAGGCGAAGCTGCTCCAGCTGGTGCCACACCCAGGCTCAGCTCTTGGCCGTGCGGAGTTTCCTGCGGAAATAATCGGGCGCGGCCTCGTGCAGCCACTCCGCATCCACCACGCACAGGTCGCGCATGTAGCACCTGTTGGTGCGCAGCAGAGCGTTGTACACCACGCAGGCCGGCCTGCCCTGGAACAGCACCGACGACGGGTGGATGGCCACGGCCTGGTGCGAGTCCACGGTGCCGTAGGAGCCGTCGGGCCGCAGCTCGGCCGCGTTCATGAACAGGCTGTGGGCCAGGCAGCGCCGCACGCTCGCCGTGTCCCCGCGGCACGACTCGAGAGGCAGCGACAGCTGGGAGACACGGCAGTGAGCAACGGCAACCTGCACCCCTCGTGGGGACACTGCCCCGTCTCTCTGGGCTCTCTTCAGAAATCCTGGGGGACCTTCCTGTGTCAGAGCGCTGGGGCACCACTGAGAACTCAGCTAGGCTAAGCCAGACTAAGAGCCAATAAAATGGATTCATGGACTCACTTCTGGAAGTGAGTTTAAAGCCATCCAGCATTCACAAATGATAGCCCAGAGGGTGGCTCCCATGTCACTACAGACTGCCAAGGGTTCAGTGGCAGCTCCCAGGCTGTGCCCAGCAGGAGCAGTGCTGAGGGGAAGCTGCTGCCACATGGAATGTCTGACTCAGTGAAGAGCCAGCCAGCACAGGCTGCCAAGGCTGACAGCACTCCCTGGAACACACAGCACAGTCCCACCTGCGTCAGAGCAGGAAAAACCCTTAGGACAACCTGTCCTATCTGTGAGAAGTCTTCTCAGAGGTTCCCATTTCTCCTTGACCCACTAAGCCCTGCAGCTTTAAGATTTTGGGATGCAACTGCACAGTCAGGAGTTCTAGCCCAATACTTAGAGGAGACTGAAAACAACCCCACGTTTTCTTATTCCTGAGACTTGGTGCACAGTAACATCAGTTTGGGGCAAACAGGAAAATACCAACAGGTGAAACAGAGAAATAGAATATGGAAGCAAGTTACCTTTACACAAATGTCCCTGAGCTGAGCTCTGACTTCTGCCATCAGCTTCATGTTCCTGCCGTTGATGAAGTTCTCTCTGCACCATCCCTGCAGCAGAGACACCAGGAGTTAGAATTGGATATTTCTTCACCCCAGGAGCATGACAGCCTTCGGATACCATGAGAAGCAGAATCCTCCCTACAATCTGCCTCAGAGAAAAGGTGCTGACCCCTTTCCTGGTCATATTTCTACCCCTCTTTACTCCCCTATGTCTAGACTCCCTCTCACAGTGCTCAGAAACAGCCTGTGGTGGTTCTTTTCCCACTCAGAGCTGCCCTGCAAGGCCACCAAGAGCTGCAGAACAGCACTTGCTATCCCATAGGTGGTAAAAACAAATCAGGTAAGAATGACAGGTGCTGCAAGGAATGGGGTGCATGAGTCCACAGATCCATAAATCAATATGAGGGGTTAATAGGGTAGGATAAATCCAAATCTGCTCTTAAATATACTCAGTGTTTTTCCAATGAATCCTGTCACTGAGCATGTCCAGGTATTTATCATCAAGCCCCACCACTCTCCCACTCCCTTCTGTTTCCAGCTGGAACCAGGGGAGGAAGAGCCCTGGCTGTGATTACAGAACTGGCCCCACAAAGCTTTGCCAGAGCTTTCTGTAGGAACTTTTGTTACAGAACTTCCTCCAATTCCCCAGTTGTAAAGGATGAGCCCTCTTTTCTCTCTGCTTTGGAGGATGCCTGTGGCAGCAGCCATGGAAGATGCAGGTGTCACTCTGCTCTCTGATAAAAACTCCTCACCCCATGAGCTCCCACAGCACTGGCAGCCTCAGATCATCCCACCTTGTGCCCGTTGACATTCTTGTAGGCCCTGTACACGTTGAGCAGGGTCAGGTGATCCCCCTCACTGGAGATGAATTTCTTCCTGACAGCCTGCACCTCATCCCGCTGGGCAGGGGGGTTGTGGAGGACACTGTCCACTGATAACAGTGACACGATGGTCAGGATCTCCTCTGCACAGTGGAACTTGGGGGACAGGAGGATGGCCTGCATAGACACAACAAAATTCATCTTTGGTCGAGCAAATCCACTTCAGCTGTGCAGGTCTTTCTGCTCCCTGGCAGCCCAGGAACTCGACCAAACATTGCTTAGGACAATCTCATAAACATCTGGGCCTAGGAACAGCTGTAAATCCTCTGATGGGCTCAGCAAGCACCTTTAACTGCCAGGCTCCTTCCTGAGACTGACCAGTGCACAACCAACAAACACACTGACTGAAACCAATTACAGCAACAGACAATTCATGGACCTGCTAAACAATACTAAAATTTGCAAGAAAATTTGCCTTGTTCACCTTCAGAGGTGCCAGAGGAACAAAATTCACTTTTAAAAAACTCCCCTGAATTTAACAACAAATGATAAGCAATCTAGCAAAAGGGCTGTAAATTATGCACATTAATGTACAGCAATTATACCAGTACAGCTGCAGACACCCCAAATTTCACCTTGTTTAAGGAGTCTGAAAGAGAAACATCAATGGTACAGAGAGGAGTACATGAGATTAAAATTAATTTTTTTTGCAGTTTTTACCTTGGAGAACTTTGGATCCAGTGGAAAGGCTGCCATTTTCTTTCCCAGGGGGGTCAGGACAAGCTGACCTTCCTTTTGGGTCACAGCTCCTAGCAGGTCCAGCTGATCAATTGCTGCTTGAATAGCATCTGCCAAAACAAGGGCATCGGGCTGTGAGGCCTCCTGCCTCCCACTGAGGGATGTGAAGGAGCAGCTGGATCCATCACTACCTCCCTCCCCTGGCCAGAGGGACAAATACTTTCCATTCAGACAAATCAGGGTCCCAAAATGTGGTTTATCCTCCTCTGTCCAGGAGAACAAGCACCTTTCCTCATTTACTCTGGCTTCCCTCGGCAGTCAGAGCACACCTTCAAGCTGTGTTGTTATGACACCTTATGACTCAGGACTGCTCCCTGCTCTTTTTCCCCAAGGCTGCCTTTGTGGCCACTTACCAGGAGATGGTTTGGACATGAAGTCAAAGGTGAGCACATTGGGAATTTTCAGGGCCAGGAGCTGAAGCACCACACTGGCCAGGTTACACCTGCATAGGCAGAAAAAACAACTGAGATAGTTCTTTTATTTTTTTCACAGAAGCTGAGATGGAGTCTCAGGCCTGTGCTGCAGCTTGACAGACACTAGTCTGATGCTGTTGGCGAAGCCTTACTTCCTAAACCAGGAAGAGGCAAGTTCATGATCTGGAGGACAGTCAGAACTATTGCCTTACGTGTTTGGAGACTCAGTGATCAACTGTCCACCCTGACCAAACATTTCCCAGTTTTTCTGTTTAGTCCCCACCCTTCCATTTTTCCCAAGCCACCCCATTAGCCCCTAGATGCAGTTTTGCTGCTCAGCTCTTCCCACAGCTCCAGCTGTGAAAGAGGTGTGGCAAGGAGTGTGATGGCTGTGTCCTCACCTCTGTATCTCGGGTGTTGTCATTTCATCGAACTTCTCGAAGTCCTCCTCTGTGTAGAGCCGGTAGCAGATCCCACTCTGCTGCCTCCCTGCTCTCCCTGTGCGCTGCCAAGCCTGGGCCTTGGACACCTGCTGCACTGCCAGCACCTCCAGGCCAGTTTCTGGGCATGGAAAAGCATCACCTCAGTCAGTGCCTGTGTAAGGCACAGCTTTGGAAAACACGGAGGATTAACAGTAAGAATTCCCAGGGTTTGCCATTCAAATACTCAGAGCTCACTTGGTTCAGCACCGTGAAGCACAGTGAACTACCCCATGCTGTGTCCATGAAGAGAAAACTCACATTTGACAGATTTTTACCCCCTCATGGCCGATACTCAAAAGAATCCACAAAAACACCACCAAATGCCACACCCCAAACCTGGGACATTAATTTAACCAGCATGGAGGGTGCTTGAAATCCTCTTTCAGTGGGGCTTATGGCCTCCAGTAACTTTTACAAACCCAAACCCAACTTTGGCCCTGTTCCTCCTCAGAATTCCTCACCAGGGCTGTACTTCTTGGCTTTGACCATGCCTGTGTCCACAACGAATTTTATCCCTGCAATGGTGATGGAGGTTTCTGCAATGTTGGTGGAGAGGATCACTTTGCGACAGCCCTGGGAGGAAGGACAAAACAAACCCAGGTCAAGGCCACCTTAGAGCAGCTGCAACACAGAAATTCTGCTGCTTTTGGCCAGTGTGGGCCACGCCCTCCCCAGCTCTCAGAAAATAAGGTAATTTCCAGTTTCTAATCAGCTTCTAAAACAAGTGCCTGCATTTGCAACAATACAGCACTAGAACAGCTGCTCTCAACACATCTTTCAACAATTTTGGTTTCATTTCTGGCACAACATTTGTGTTCTTATTTATCTGCTGAGTAGGTACAAAAGAGCCTGAAGCAGCACAAATTCCTTTTCTATGGCCCTGACAAACATTCTCAGGTTTTCAGCTTTCTCAGTATTTCCCCCATTAGCTACTGTAGCTTTTTTGTAATATGGACAAAAAATTCCTATGAAATGGGAGAAATTTAAATTCCTGTGAGCTTTTCACCCCCTCTAATCCTTCCTTCCTCTATGATCCCAGGTGACTTACTGGATGCATCTGTTAAAACCATGACAGTTGCAGTGTCTTATATCACACTGGAACCACTCAGCCTAAAGCCAATGGAGACTTACTGCTTACTATCAGCACAGACTGCTTTAGCTCCTTAAAGTCCACCTGTTTCTTCCAAAGACTCATGGAAGCAAACAAGTAACAGGTATTGTTCACCCATCCCATTCCCTCACCTCTGGGCTAGGTTTAAAGGCTCGGAGTTGTTGGGAGTGGGGCAGAGAAGCATAAAGGGGCAGCACTGTCATCCGTGGGCAGCCCTCAGGGAGATGCTGGGCAACGTCTCGACAGGTTTTGGTCATTGCTTCAATTTCTTCCTGACCAGTCAGGAACACCAGGATGTCCTGGCATGCAGGGGCTTCCTGGAGCCAGAGGAAAAAACAAGTTAGCAGGGTCTGGATAGAAAAGAAATGAGATGGTAATGAGATGTGGGTCTGGCAGCAAGTCACTGAAGCAAGCTAAGAAGAAAGAAAAGACACACATGTAGTGCAAGGTATGCAACAGCCAGAATTCCCAATGGATTTGCCAGAGGCAAAGAGTAAATCACATTTTGAGGGATCAAGTGTTAAAAGGATGGAGGAATTGCTGTGTCCTCAAATAACTGCCCAGGTCAGGCAGCAAGCACCCAGGTACAGAGAACTCAGGTGAGGGGAACATTCAGGTTTTAGGCATGAGTTCACATTATAAGAGCTTTGCTTAGCAGTCTCCCTTCAGCTCCAGCCAGGCCCCAAATCCCAACAGCAGCAGCAACTTCAAAGCACTAAACACAGTTTAATGAAACGGCACAACAACACAACAATCCAGGTGTTTGGCAGTCAAATATCCCAACAAAATGCCAACCCTTGGCCCCAGAGGGACACAAACCCAGAGAGACCCTCACACCTGGTGGATTTGGAAGATGGACACCAGTGCTGCCTGCAGGTAGTCACTCTGCCTCTCCGTGGTGTAGAAGATGTCAATGGGATGCTGCCGGCCTTCCAGATAGAGGACAGGAGCTCCACTGAAATACTGGGAGAACAGGTCAACATCCATCGTGGCTGACATGATGATCACCTTCAGGGGGAGCACAGCATGGGTCAGCACTGCAGCTTCCATCCAGCTAGACACCAACGAGTCAGGACCAGCCAAAAGTCAGCTTCTGGATCCTGAGAACCATGCTCAGAACAGCTCACAGGCTTTGGGACAGAAGAGAGTGATTTCCCCTCATTAAAGCCATCAGCTTTTTAACACAAGCAGAAAACGTTGGTGTGATAGAATGAGCTGGTGTGTGGAATGAGACCATGCAAGGCCCCTGCCAGGCCCCTCCAGCAAAGCCAACGTGCTTTCACACAAATTCCTGACATGTTCACCCATCCCATGTGCAGTGCCCTACCTGGGAATGAGCATATCCCACAGCTGTCCCATCAGCCAGAGCTCTGCACCTGGAGTGATCTCAGCAGCAGTGCCAAAACATCCCCAGCACTGTCTAGTTTAGAGCTCACACCCAAGGGGCTTTTGTGGGAAAAAAAGTATTATGATGGTGACCAGACACCTTGTTCAGAGGTGTCATATTAGGCCCACACATCGTAAGTCAGACTATTCAGATCCTTAATTATTCAGATTTAAAGTGACTGTTTAGGAACAGAAAAATGGTTAAGGCTGAAATTCCGAACACTTTGGAAGGCCCCAGGAGATGCTCAGAGCACTCAGAGCCCGGCCCCACCCCGCCCTTCGCTGCCATCCCGGATGAACACACTTTCAGTGGCCGCTGGCCCCGCTCCTTTCGCTTCTTTTGTGCGGCTTTGACCACTCCAAAGAGCACATCCGTGTGGATGGTCCTCTCGTGGGCCTCGTCCAGGATGACCACGCTGTACTTGTGCAGCAGAGGGTCCCCGATGGCCTCTCGCAGCAGCATCCCGTCCGTCAGGAACCGGATCCTGGTCTCGGCACACGAGCAATCATCAAAGCGCACGGTGTAGCCGACCTGGGAAGGACCACACGGGGCTCACACGGAGCACGGGCACAGAGACTGCCATTCCTCACTGCCATCGTGCCATAGTAGGACCCACAGCTGGTCTGTGGGTTAGAGAGGGTTAATAAAGGAGGTTTGTTTTGAGAAGTATTCTCTGACCAAGGCTGTTGGCCTGGAGACCAAGAAGAGAAGAAGATAAGCAAGAAGAAACCCGCGTGGGGAGAAGTATTTTTAGAAAAGTCTTGTGAGAAACACAGGTGCAGATGGGTTTCACACCAATGAACATTATGTTGACTAATTGTAAGCAATGAAGTGTAAACTTTTTAGAGTGTATATAAGACAGTCGATGGTTGCAATAAATGGGATATTAGCCTTCTGAAATGTAGTGCGTCTATTTGTGTGTCACACCCGCCCCTACAGCGACATCGTGCCACAAGGAAGGACTACAAAGCCCCTGGTCCCTGCACTGGACAGAGCCCACCAGAAGTGCATGGAAGCTCTGGAAAGCAGAGCAGTTTATCTGCTGTCTGAGCAGTTCATCTTCCAAATCTAGCAAGTCACCCAAGTGATATTCCCAACTTCTCTAGCTGGCTTCTTCCTAACTAGAAGTTCATCAAATGCCCCCCAAGTTTGTTTCCCTCGCTCCCTCCCTCCCTCCCTCTCCCTCCTAGAAATGATTCCATGCTCTCTAAGGATTTTATGCAGGTAAAGTCTTTCTGCTCTGCTTTTTTCCCCCAGACCTGCACAAATTCAGCACTCTGCTCTCCTTGACAGTGGCTTCTGATATAGGGAGCAACGGAAGAGAGCACAATATTTTTTGTTTTATTCATGAATCAGTATTTTTTCCAATAGAACAACCCAGATAATAATCAAGAAGTACAATATCACAGAGACAGACCATGTCCACCCTGTCATGGGGCAGATAAAGAGCCATTTTTCTCCATTCATTTAATTACAGAATCCTAGAATATCCTGAGTTGGAAGGAACCCACAGGGATCATCCAGTCCAGCCCCTGTCCCTGCACAGAGCCCCCAACAATCCCACCCTGTGCATCCCTGGAGCAGTGTCCAAACACTCCTGGAGCTCTGGCAGCCTCGGGGCTGTGCCCATTCCCTGGGGAGCCTGGGCAGTGCCCAGCACCCTCTGGGGGAAGAACCTTCTCTTGATATCCAGCCTAAACCTCCCCTAACACAGCTCCAGCTATTCCCTCAAGTCCTGTCCCTGGTCATAGAGAGCAGAAATTGGAGCTGCAGGCGGAAGCTGCAGACCTTGGTGAGGTTTGATGAAATTCTCCACTTCTCCAGCTGAACAAACCAAGTGATCTCAGCCATTCCTATCATGGGGTTCCTCCTGACCCTTCACCATCCTCTCTTACAGTTTTTACATCCTTGTTGTATTACAGTACCCAAAACTAGTCATGAAATTAAGACTGTGGCTAATTATCCTACCCATTGCAGCACTAAACCAAAGTTAATCTGCAGATCAACCTACCAGCTTCCCCAGCTCTGTCCTCTTCTCCTCGGCGACTCTGGCAGCCAGGGTGACAGCTGCCACCCTGCGGGGCTGGGTCACAGCAATGACGCCAGGGTGGCCAATCCCTGCTTCAAACAGGTACTGAGGCAGCTGAGTGGTCTTCCCTGAGCCCGTTTCTCCTAAGGAATATTGTCAAAAACGAGGTTTACTTTCCTGGTAAATTTTCAAAGGTTTAATAAAAGACAGTAAGAGAGAAATAATAAAGCAGAAGGTTATGTGGCTGGGTGCTTGACATTGAGCCAAGAGCACACATTACCTCAGAAAACTCTTCTTTAAATGCATCAACATGTTGCATATTCATACACCTTCATGCATTATTCAAAATCATCCCCCCTCAACCTGTAAATATTTTTTTTTTTTAATTTCTCCTTGTGGCTCCATTCTGTGGCATTCCCTGATAATGGAAGATCAATAAATTCCTTCCTGGGGTTCTGGTGTCCAATAATCCAAGAATGTGAAGAATTTCCTGATTATCTTTTTTATCATTCTCTGAGTTACATGAACAAAAGCTTTTTACATCACCATGTTACAGTCCAAGAAAAATATATATATCACACTACTATTTCTAAGTTTTGTTAATAGCAGAACTAAAAGAAACTATGTTCATACAGCAAAGTTTTCCAACATTATACATATAGCATTCATTTTAATACTTGTGAAAAGCCAGGAATATAATGTACTTATAACAAATATCAAGAGAACAGGGTTCCCCCCCTCGCTTTTATAGCCAAACCCAGTTTTTTACGTTAACTTTTAGTCCCATTTGAGGATGGGGAAGTTGAAGACAGGGAGAGAATGTCCCACCACAAAGTGGTGGCAGGTCAGAGATGTCACCCAAAGCCCTCCTCTTGCTGCTGGGCCACTCCTCTCCCTCCACCCAGAGCCACGCTCCGGTTTAGAAGCCCCAGCTTCTCTGGAGATGAGGTGTCTGTGGTGTGACACTAACGGGAGTGACATACAAAGCGTTTTGCATTTAATTACAATAAATGCTGAGTCTTTAGACTACCAGGTGGGAAGTTGTGTATCTTCAGCTCCTGAAAGTCTGACAAAAAGCTTTTTAGTTTGCACTCACAGAAAGCATAATAAAATCAGTGAAAAACCCCTGAAAATGTAAGTGAGGAGTCTTCAGAAGAGTAGAGTTTTGCCATCTGGCTTTGACCGAACTCCAGGCAGACAGCGAAAGGAGAGGGAAATATTTTTGCCTTCTCCATAAAAACGAAGTTCCCGGCTGCACTCCTCGTTCACCACACTTCAGATTTCCACCCAAACCGTGCCTCGGCAGCTTTCCCAGCCCAGCCCACTCCGTGTGACACGGCCCGGCCCGGCACTCACCGATGAGGACGGCGGTGTCGAGGCGGCGGAGCCGGGCCAGCAGCGGCCCGCGGGCCCCGCAGATGGGCAGGGAGCGGCGCTGCACGTGTGCGGGCAACGCAGCGCTCTGGGGCTGCGTGCCGGAGGGCGCCGCCTTGAACCGCTTGGCTGGAGGCCCCTCGCTGTCCTGAGCCATCGTCCCGTCCCGGCCCGGCCCGTCCCGCCGAGGCTGTCCCGGGGCTCCGGCCGCTCCCGGCACGCCTGGACCGCGCTCTCCACCGGCTCCTTGGCGCAGCGATGACGCCACAGCGCGACGCTGCGCGGAGCATCCTGGGAGTTGTAGTCCCGACGCCGCAGCCATTTGCAGCGCTCCCGGCTCCGGGCGCCCCTCCGAGAAATCGCGGACCCCAAAGCGCAGCCAAATGCACCAAGGAGGGCAGAGCCGGCTGCAGGCAGCACAGGGACATGTCCCCATTCAGAACTTGTCCCAGTAGCAAGCTACAGAGGGGTTCTCAAATACTGAACTAAAAAAAACCCACAAAAATAAGGTTTTGATCTAATTCCTGCCTCTGAATCTATGCTGAATCAACATGGTCCAAAACACTTTCATTTTTGCTCTCTAGGAGCACCAGAAGTCTGTTCTAGAAACAATCAAAACTGCCCCCCAAAAAAACAGACTAAAAAACCTGTAAACCCCCCCAAAGCTCCCATTAAGTTTTTATAACCTTTAACAGATAAAAACGCAGATACAGATTACTTCATGCATTTTATCACAATCTTAACACTGATTGTGGACAAAACATTTCCCCTGAGATCCCCACGCATTTCTCTCCTGGACTATAAATTTCAAAAACTACAACCTGTAGCCAGTTTTTAAAAACAAAACCTGAGACTAATTGAGATAATCACAAGTAATGGGTAAACCCATCCTCTAAAATGCTGAATGAAGATGCAGCTTGAACTCCTTTTATCTACTATGATATAATCAATAAAACCCTACCCAGTACTTTCTATGGCAATTTAAGAACAATTGACCGTGATGAGCTGAATTGAGCTCCAAATTCCTATGACTCCTCAGAGATATTTATAATCAATGCAGTTTTAAGCTAAAGCCCACTCAGTCTCACTGGCCTGTGTTGGACAACCCTCCCACAAGAAACTTCATCCACAGACCACGGATTTCATATCCTGAGCAGACAATGCTGTCCTGCAGTTCTGATAAAATTGTGGAAAAAGCTTCAGTTATCTCTCTCTTCAAGGACTTGCTTTTTCCAGCCCCTGCTTTTCCAACTGCTGCCTCATGACTAGAGAATTATAGAGGATTAACAAAAAAGGATCCACAAGACATTTTATTCAACTCATCATCATTTGAGTCCCGACTCCAGACAAGTTTCCTTCTCTAGTGCTGCAGGTCATTCAGTAACAGCAGAGGGCACATGGGGAGTGGATTTTGCAGGCACACCAGTCTGAAAACCGGGCACCTGAACACACAGTCCTCGGGGAAAAAAACCACCAAAATGTAGCCTTGGCCTGCAGAACATTCCAAAAACCCAACTGGCAGAGTCAAAAGCTGCACTATGATGTATGCTGTGTTCCTGCAATTCAAAGATGACTGGAGATAGCAGCACCTCAGATTAAAAAACCTTTTGCCATTAAAATAGTGACTTAGCCTTTCAATCATCTTGCAGTTGTTTTATCCAAGAATAAAAAAAATAAGCTAAAACCCAAAAAGCTGGGTTTTTCCCCTGTAAAGTTTCCCATAGAGTTTCATGTATCAAATAACTTGAAAAAAATGCTTTAGAAATCACGTTAAACAAGTACTTGCATGGCCTTGTTAACAGAAGTTAACAGGAAACTGTTTCCAGTTTTAAATTTTTGGCTCCACTGGATTTAGATTATGTCCAGCACAATGAACTCCCCTGATTGGGAAAGGCGCTGGGAGTGCCTTGGGTGAGGCTGCCATTTCATAAAGTGCTTGTATTCCAAACCATAGAGCTGTCACAGAGCCCTCTCTGTGCCGGGGAAGGAGTCCCCACGTGGGACTGGAGCCAGGCCAGTCTCTCCCAGGGGTGGCTGGGTTTTGGCACAGTGCCTGATTTATCCCCCGAGGCGCTGCCCCTCTCCCCAGGCAAAGCCCCCCGGCCGCTCCTCGGGCAAGGGGTTGTAATTCGGGTCATCCTCCGGTGTGTCAAACATTGCTTTCCTGGAAAACACAAAGCAGGGTTAGCCTTTAAAACACAGCTTTTCACAGGAAGACCCAGACAGCTCACATGCTGCACATGGAACAGTGTCCTCCCTCAAGAACAGCTTGCCCAGGTAGTGGGATTTATGCTCTCTAATTTGGAGCCACCAGGAAGGAAATCCCAAATCAAGACTGATGAGGTTCATCTTTTGCTATTTATGATATACATATTGTAGGCCAGACCTCTTCAGGATAGTCTATGAATTCTGTGAAAAACAACCATCAGAGGTGTTCTGGGAGAGCACCACAGGAGATTAGAGCATCCACACAAGGGGGAACTGCGTGGGAGCACCACTACTCCATACAATAAACACTGAGGATTTTTTTCCCCAAATTGTGACATGAGGATGACTTAAAGAAGGAAAAAACCATTAGATATCTTATATGTAATACCTCAGCCACTGTTCACATTCAGCAGGGGACACAGCTTTGGTGCCACCAAAGAAAGCTGTCAGCAAAGCCTGACAAGTGTTATCAGAGAAACCAAAGGTAAAATCCTTTAGCTCTTCTCCCAGTTAAGTTGGCTGCCACTTAAAGAAATGCCAGCTCCTTGTTTGGCAACACAAGTTCAATAAACAGCAAGAACAGACACCTCCCAATTCTGTCTCTGTCCAATTCAAGCTGATGTGACTGAATTGCAAACAGTTTTCCAAACAAGCAATTTTTCCATGTCTCTTCCAAAGCAGACACCAATACTCACAGGACAGACGGTGTTCTCAGGAGCCTCCCACCACCAGGCTGATTAGGAAAGACATCCTCTAAGAAAAAATATATATGCCCAACAGCAATGCCTGGTATAGAAACAAAAGCCAAAAGGTGATTTTTCAATAGTTCTCCTTTACAACTCTCAAATGCTTTACACTAAAGTTTTCAAAAAAACAACACACATACAGACATTGGTTCTTTCACAGAAAATATGATACAGAAATAGAAAACCTAAGGAAGAAAGCTAACAGCAGATAAAAATCTTAACTTACACTACATCCTATCATTATTAAAAATACTGATGTTTTGACTCTATTAGAATTGATAAAATAGTAACATAAACTATTTTATTTCAGTAGACTGATGCTGTGATCAGATGATGCATCAGGGCTGATTTCAAGCAATAAAAAGCCAAAACATCAGAAGCTTTTTCCATCCTTATCACAGCACAAAACATTCTACAACAGTTAGAAATCAGAACAGCCTGGTCTAAACGTATCAGAAGAACTAACACCAAGCATTTAGCCCTTGGATTTGTCCCCATTTTCTGTTTCAGGAGGAGGAACAGATCCTCGTGATTGTTGCCATTGCTCACCCAGGAGATCCACAATGATGGAGTTCCCCAAAAGCAGTGAAAAGCCCATCAGCACCCAGGGTAGAAATGGGGCTTGGAAGATGAGGAGGCCGAAGAAGTTCATGCGGACGTAGGGATTCCTGCGGCTCCAGACGTACACCAGCATGATGGTGAAAGCCTGGCCCAGGAACACCAAGTTCACAAACAGCCCAAAAAGCTGCCACGGGTCATTAAGGAAACACTTGTGAGGTCAGGAATTTCACAGCTTAATTTGTAATCCCGTGTTTTCCACGCAGCTGGTAATTCCACTCTCCCAGGAGCAAGTACATCAAACTACTGTCCATCAAATCCAACAGATGCAGCAGGATTCAGGGTACCTGCAGCATGAATAATCTCATTAAAGCATAATTTAATTCTTCACAGACAACCTGAGCATGATCCCACAACTGAACAGTCCCCTGAAAACCTCATTTCCATGATCAAGCAAAAAAAATCTGAAAAACTAGCAACAATCCCGAAGTATTCAAAACCACCCTAACAAATATAGGTACTCCTTGTGCAACAAACTACCTTAAGGTCACAGTAACAACATGGTTTCAGCTCTCATTACACATCTTCAGCTTTACTAAAGGAGCTTGGAATTAAAACAGAAAGGATACAGTCATTAAAAGTCCTCCAAAAAGGAACATAAATACAAAATCTGCCGTCCGACCCCGGAAAGAGCCTTCCTCGAGCATGCGGCAGTACCGGTATCTGAGGCCACAGGTCAGGAAAATTCCATTGCAAGTGAGTTTAGAGACAGATCCAAGCAGAAAACAATTCTACATCAGCTTAAAAGTGTTTTATCAATTTACTGCATCACTTGGCTCTTCCTGGATACTTCAGCAGAGAAGGTGACCCAGGAGACAAAAACGTCACCTGGAATTTTCTCCTGCACCAGGTCAGCACCAACCTGATGGTTGTACAAATTTTTAACACAAAATTCTTGACCGCTTAAGGAGACTCCCTTGCAGCCCATTTATGACAGCAGCGAAGTTGGCATTGCTGAATTCCCAGGACCTCAATCTTTCCTGTGTGCAGGTACAGCAAGATTTCTGCACTCTGGAGCTCTGCTTGCCAAGGGAACCAACACAACTCGGTGAAGGATACAAAAAGATCATATTAAATAAAAAATTAAAGCCAACTGGTCCAAAGAACAAGTAGTTTGTGATTAACCTCCATATCTGGAAATAAGACAAATACAAGGACTTTAAACATGACAGCTTAATTTTATTGTCTAAATAGATAAGCAAATAACAATGAAACCGAAATCTCCTTTACAGAAAATGAAACTAAGACTATTTTAAGGTACAGTGGTCTGCACTCTGGCTACAGTAGCTTTTAAAAAGCGTAATTCTAATATAAAAAGTTTTGAGAAGACAAACACTTAAAAAACTCTACAGCACAGTTTAAAACCTCCCGTGCTTCAGAACACACTTACTTGAAAGTGCTTAAATATTAACTCAGGGTTGAAATACAGCTGGAAGGGCGTGATAAGTTCTAATTGCTG